GAAAGAAAGAAAGAAAGAAAGAAAGAAAGAAAGAAAGAAAGAAAGAAGGAAGGAAGGAAGGAAGGAAGGAAGGAAGGAAGGAAGGAAGGAAGGAAGGAAGGAAGGAAGAAAGAAAGAAAGAAAGAAAGAAAAAGAAAGAAAGAAAGAAAGAAAGAAAGAAAGAAAGAAAGAAAGAAAAAGAAAGAAAGAAAGAAAAAGAAAGAAAGAAAAAGAAAGAAAGAAAGAAAGAAAGAAAGAAAGAAAGAAAGAAAGAAAGAAAGAAAGAAAGAAAGAAAGAAAGAAAAAAAGGAAGGAAGGAAGGAAAAGAAAGAGGTATCACAGAGGGGGTAATCCTTGAGCAGGTTTTCAGGGAAATAGGATAAGCTCAGTGAGCTAGAACATTGTGGCATTCTTGGTGAACTTTGACATTTTGGTGGAGGGTATAGGGAAAGGAACATATGAAGAAATAGCATGAGAGAAAGCTATTCAGGGAAGTATAGTAGTTAAGGTTCTTCTGATTTCAAATAACGAATCCAGCTAGTTGACATTACCAGAATGATACCAGGGTATAGTACAGACTTTTGGGGATCATATAACCAGGGAAATTCAGTAGTAAAAATCCAAAAACTCTTCCTGGTGGGTTGTAAACAACTCCCTGTCTCTTTGCATTCTCAGCTCAAAATTTCAGTTTTCTTTTTTTTTTTTTAAAGATTTGATTTATTTATTCATGAGAGACAGACAGACAGAGAGAGAGGCAGAGGGAGAAGCAGGCTCCCAAGGAGCAGGGAGCCCAATGGGGGACCCGATCCCAGGACTCTGGGATCATGACCTGAGCCGAAGGCAGACGCTTAACCATCTGAGCCACCCAGGCGCCCAAAATTTCAGTTTTCCAGGAGAGCAAGTCTGTTTGGCCAGTTTGGGTCAGATTTCTAGCCCCCACCCCTCAGCCATGACTAGACTGAAGTTATGTGTGGGGATGCTGGGGAGGGAGGTGTCCCTATGAGCTGTTGTGGCTGGCCTAAGGGGAATCTGTTGAGTTTTATTATTTCTTTGCCTTTCCCCACATGTGCAATGAAAATAAAATGCCTCCAGCTTCTGTGATCTAGCCATTCTAGTACAAAAGCCCCTGAACTTGCCCAAAGGCAAGTTCTTTCCAAGCCCAAAGATACCTCCAAATGGTGGAAGGAATATCTTGAGGTTATTGTTTTCCTGGTCCTGATCTCTGGGTGTAAAATGCCCATTTTTTCAGTTCTAGCAGTCTCATCCAGGTGTGGTTCCTCTTGGTCTCACAATACAATGACTAAATGGTCAGTATAATTATACCAGTATACTCTGTAAGTAATTGCTCGGGACAGGGGTGGCAATGGTTGCTACAGAAAGAAAGGAAGAAAACAAGGATAGTTCTTCATTTAAAAGGGAAAAAATAGAGTAATTTTTTCATCTCAGACATTCCAGCAATATATGTGCAGACTACTCATTCCTGCTACTGTTAATCAGAGTATAACTGGCCTATTCCAAGTTTCCTTGCTTGCAGCTAATGTCTCAGCTGATTGAGGATTTTGCCACTATGGTGATTTAAGCCTTCATTTCTGGAGGTCTAAGCCCTTAGTGATCATCAGCGTGGATTGTGTCAAACCAAACAAAGACAATGCAGCAGACTGGAGACAAGGCTGAGGTGGAAGGACAGGGAACCAATGCGTATTTGTTCCATAAATAGTCTCCGTCTTACAGATGATGAAGCCGAAGCCCAGAGAGTTTAGATTAACTCTGTCTGGCTCTAGAACGACCCTTCTCCATAGTTACATTATATTGCCTCTGCACTCGGTGTGCACATTGAGTCTGGGCGCTGAGCCTTTTATACCCAGGATTAAGTCATGTCTTGGCTCTTCAACTTTAGCTAGCCTTGTGACCAAGAACAAGTTGCTTAATCTTTCTAAGTCTTTTCATCTATAAAATGAAGATAGCCTTGTGCAGGGCACAATACTTATCATTTGATAAATAGATTTGTAAAATGGTGGCCATTATTATTATTATTACTATTTCTTTTTAGAGAGGGAGAGAAGGGGGGAGGGGCAGAGAGAGAGGGAGAGAAAGAACCATAAGCAGGTTCCACACCCAGTGCTGAGTCCAATGTGGGGCTCTATCAAACGACCCTGAGATCATGACCTGACCCAAAATCAAGAGTCGAATGCTTAAGGAGCTGAGCCACTCAGGCGCCCCAGTGGCCATTATTATTAATTCAATAAAAATGTATTGAGCATACCATGGTAGGCACTGGATGTACAGTGGTGCATAAGATGGGCATAATTCCTGTGTTCCTGAATCTTTCAATAAAAAGAATCTGAACTAAGCCATTAAATGAAAATAGCAATGTGTGGTCTACAGATCTGCCTCCCTCGCTTTGGATTATGAACACCGGGAATGACATAAGGGAACATAACGAAGATTGTGAACTGAAGAGGACAGATCAGGAAAGGTTGTTCCAAGGCTGGAACAATCCAAAGGAAAGGGAGAAAGACAAAGAACAAGGGTGAACTCAGGAAAACTCCCAAGGGAAAGCATCATCACCTACTTAAGACTGGCAGGTAAATCTGGATTTTTTTTTTTAAGATTTTATTTATTTATTTGAGAGAGAGTGAGAGCAGGAGGGTGAGCACAAGTGGGGCAGGGGGAGGAGAGAAGGCGGGAGGAAGAAGCAGACTCCTTGCTGAGCAGGGAGCCCCACGTGGGGCTCAATGGGGGCTGGATCCCAGGACCCTGAGATCATGATCTGAGCATCTGCTTACCCGACTGAGCCACCCAGACACCCCAGAAATCTGGATTTTATATGAAAAGTGGAGCGATTCTTGTCATGGAACAGAAAGTTAGAGTAGGTAAAATGGAAACGATCTGTGAGAGACCTGTGGAGATGGAGTGGTAGATAGTCTCAATACTCTATAGAAAGCATGATTAAAGGGAAGGAAATGAGAAACATTCATTAAAAAAAAAAATAATCCTCAAGTCCTGATTTGGAGAACAGCCACAATTTGTAATTTGAGCCAACAGATAAAATAAAATTTGTCTCTCGGGGGGACAAAATAAGCCTTTTTCAGGCTCAATTCCCCCGGCACCTGGCTTGTTTTCTTCACTGTAAATGAGCACTGGGAAAAGAACAGGCTTTAGACATTCTGCCCGAACAATTCACAGACCATTTTCTTGGTAATCACTATGTAGCTCTTTTTTCAGTCAGGCTCACACACAGGATTTAATCTTGGTGTTTGATAGCAAGTATTATTTTTAACATTTATCAAAAGTATGAAAATAACTCTAAAAGTGCCTTAGAATGTATGTAAGGGAAGAAAAGTGAGTTATATATTATATATATATACATATCCATCCTTGAAGTGACCTAATATAAAATTCTGCAGATTTATCCTTATGACTGTGGTTATGTAATATGACCTAAATCACTGTCATGTTTAAAGCCAACATTTACCACAATGAGATCCTACATGGATTAAATGACCAGTTACAGTATTTTCAGGAGCACCTGATCATAAGTGACTTAATTGTGGCTATATGACAGGCAAAGTAGTTGAAAAAGTCATTGTTTCCAAGTAAATCCCAGCTGACAGTGTTTACCATCAAACCTGTCATCTTTACCAAAACTAAAAGTAGGTTCATTGGTTCGATCAGAAATATGTATTGTGATTTGTGTGTGTGTGTGAATTTTTTTGTTCAGACCAAAGGAACATCTATAGCACAAAAATAGATCCAACTTTTACACAGATGCTTCTCTATGTGTTTTCAACTTCAATTTAAAAGGTAGCAAAGTTGATTTCAATTTCCACAGTATAATTATGTTGATTGTATTGGAAAAACATGAACCAATACATTTAACTTTAAGATCCATGAACATCTTATAGAAAGTTACCCATGTATATGAAATTTTTGAGCACTTGACATTCATAAATAATATTTAGCTTCTGAATGATGATGATAAATATATACATTTATGCACTTATCACGCATAATACATTAAGAATGTCTTATTGGCTTATTGAGCAAAATATGATCATAAAATATATGTCATTACAGCCCAGATACATAGCAATAAAAAATTTAAGATATTTAGATAAGTTTTTAGGTAAGACATTTAGATTTTTTAAAAAAGACATTTAAAGAAGATTCCGAATACCTGGCGGGCCTGAGGGGCCGCTCTCCCGCCCTCGCCCTGGACCCTCCTGCACTGCATACTCCCCCGAGACGGGGACCCCGGACCCCAGGGCTCCGGAGGACTCAACCAGGACTTTCCAAAAGTTGCCGCGGGGCCTTCCAATCCCCTCGGCCATCTCCCAAGTCTGGCCAGGCTGATGGGGCCAGCGAGGATTCTCTGCACCTCGACATTCAGAAACTGAAGGAGAAGAGGGACCTGCTGGACAAGGAGATCACCCAGTTAATATCTGAAGGCTACAGTGTGAATGAACTGGAGGACCACATCTCCCTTCTCCACGAATATAATGACATCAAGGATGTAGGCCAGATGCTGCTAGGCAAACTAGCCGTGATCCGAGGTGTCACCACCAAAGAATTATATCCAGAATTTGGCCTGGATATGAATGACTGAGCCAAGGCTCACAGCCCTTTGTCCACAGCCCAATGGGACAGGCAGATTTGAACATGAGAGGCAGTGAGAGCCCATCCAGCACATGCACACGCTTCCCAGCGAGGAAGCGTTAGAAGCCTTTTTCTAGAGAGCTTGATCTGAGTCACAAGGGAGCTCAGAGACAGACAGTGAAGAAGAGCTGTTCCCTGCTCCAAGTTTCCTGAAATGTCCCAGTGATGTCTGTGTGTGTGTGTATGTCTCCCATTTGTAAATAAACATACAAGCAATCTTAAAAAAAAAAGACATTTAAATTAAAATACTCAACAGCATAAATTGATTTTAGCAATGATATTGTTACAAAATACTTTGAATATTCTCTGATTAAAAAAAAAAAGCCAGAGATTTATTCAGTATCTTTCTGGCATTTGAAATGCCATCTCTTCATCTTCCGTACAATTGCTGGTTGAGAGGGAAAATGATTAAATCTGTCAAGAAGCTCTATATTTTCACATTAAAATTCAAAGTTATTCCGATCCAAGTAGATAGATAAGTAGCATTCCTTTTTTTAAAAAAGATTTTATTTATTTATTTATTTATTTAAGAGAGGGAGAGAGAGCATGAGCTGTGGGAGGGCAGAGGGAGAGGGAGAAGCAGACTCCCCACTTAACAGGGAGCCCCCCCATACAGGGCTTGATCCCAGGACACGGGGCTCGATCCCAGGACCCACTCGATCCAAGGACCCCAGGATCATGACCTGTGCTGAAGTCAGCCGCTTAACCGACTGAGCCACCCAGGCACCCCAATAAGTGGCATTCTTAATCAGTAAGGAAAGTATAAATTATACAATAAGTTAAGGAGCCAGTGCCCAATTGTTTGAAGGAAAGAAAACATATACTTGTGCCAAAATAAATTCCTGGTGGATTAAAGATTTTAATATAAAAATATAATCATAATATTATTAAAAGAAAATATAAAAATACTTATATAATCTTGGAAATGGGAATTATATTGCATTAAATATAAAGCAAAAGATTTTTAAAATACATTAAAAAAAATGGAGCGCCTGGCTGGCTTAGTTTGTAGAGCATGCGACACTTGATTTCGGGGTTGTAAGCTCAAGCCCCACGTTGGGTGTAGATATTCCATAAAAATAAAATCTTATAAAAAAATAAATAAAATATGTAAAAAACTAAAAACTATTTCAGAAATCACCAACAAATAAAAAGACAAAATCCCAAACTGGAAGGGAAAAAATTACCCCCAAATTAAAGGACAAATGCCAAACTAGAAAGAGGAAAATGTGGGGTGCCTGCCTGGCTGGCTCAGTAGGTAGAACATGCAACTCTTGATCTTGGAATGGTGAGTCTGAGCCCACATTGTGGGTAGAGATTACATTAAAGGGCAGGGGAGGGACAAAGGGCTAAGAAGTCTTACAAATCAACAAGAAAAAGTTAAATAGAAAAATGGATAAAGAACTTCTGCAGGTAAAATAGAAAAGGAAGACTAAAAAGGGTCAATAAGATGAATATTTTTCCTTTCCATCAGTAATAAAAAGTGTCTATTATAATGCCAACTTTGCCTATCTAATTGATAAAGATTATTTTAAAAGATAATATCCAGGGTTAGGGAGGACACTACATCTGTTCTCAATTACTCTTTGACAAAATGTCTGAAAAGTGCATACCTATTAACCAGCAAGTCAACTTCAAAATAATTCTAAGGAAATATACGCTGGGGAAGTAACTAATGATATATTCCACCAGTTGTTTATTGCAGTTTCCTTCCTTGCTTCTCCCCTCCCTCTCTCCCCCCCCCACCTCTCTCTTTCTATCTCCTTTTTCTTTTGGGGTTTATGTTTGATACTGGTGAAAAACTGAAAAAAATTAAAATGTCCAACAAAAGGCATATTGGTTAAATAAAATACGCTAAATTCATTCAACAAAACATCTACACTAGTCAACCAATAAAAATGACAGTGTAGTAAATACAGTTAACCCTTGAACAATAAGAGTGTTAGGGGTGCTGACCCCATACAGTTAAAAATCCATGTATAACTTTTGATTTCCCTCAAACTTAACTACTAATAGCCTACTGTTGACCAAAAGCCAATACCATAAACAATTAACACATATTTTGTATGTTATATGTATTATATACTGTATTCTTACAATAAAGTAAGCTAGAGAAAAGGAAATGTTATTAAAATCACAAGGAAAAGAAAATACATTTATATTACTGTACTTATTGAAAAAATCCACATATAAGTAGGCTTTCACAGTTCAAACCTGTGCTGACCTCTTATTCAAGGGTCAACCGTATATTTAAAAAAGTGTTCACCAATATATTGGTTATTTTTTTTTGCTTTTGTGATTTTTAAATTTTATTTTATTATAATTCCAGCATAGTTAATATATAGTGTTTTATTAGTTTGAGGTGTACCATGTAGTGATTTAACAATTCCATACCACAATATATTGTTAAATAAAAAACTTGGGATACAGAGCAAAATGTATTGGCTGGGAGGTGGAGGGTTAGGGGAGTGGGAGTGCATCTTTCCATCTCTCTGTCCTCTCTCTGCCACCACCACACCCACAGATACACTTAATGCAAAGGTATTGGAAAGAATAAACTATGGGGAAGGGAGATTACTAGATTATTAAATGTTCTTTTTGCCTGTCATTATTTTCTAATTTAACTACAAAGAACAGGAATTATTTTGTATAAGCAAACATATTTTCTGCTTTTAAAGATTTTATTTTTCATTTATTTTAGAGAGAGAACAGGAGTGAAGGGAGGGGAGCAGAGGGAGAGAGACAAGCAGACTCCCTGCTGAGCATGGAGCCCAACACAGGGCTCAAAACAAGGCTGACATAGGGCTTGACCCCAGGACCCTGAGATCATGAGATCATGACCTGAGCTGAAATCAAGAGTCAGACGCCCAACTGACTGAGCCACCCAGGCACCCCCAAACATATTTTCAAATTAAACATATAATGTTACTTAGTGGTTGCCTTTACATAATGTGTAAGAATCATCAATTAGCCAGTTAGTTAAGTATAGTTTCATTCCAATATCTTCGTATTTGGGATGCAAAATTGAGAAAAAAAGCATTGAATCTTAAAATGCTATAGAATTGGCAGATCATTTTTCATTTCATAAGGTATTATTTATAATCACTATTTTTATTGTTGCTGTGGGAATGTTTTATACATAACAATGCTGAAGTTAGGCATTTGTGTCCAGAAAAACATCAGAACATCAAATCTAAAGTAAATAATGATTTCCTCCTTTAAATATAACAAAGATGTGGGAAGAAGTAGTGGGCAAGAAGGCTCCGTGTTACCATGGAGATGACTACCTATCCATGGTGCAAACCACCCCCACTGTAGCTTCAGGGTCAATGACTCACTAGCTCACAGAAAAGTCAACAAATAAAGGCATACCTGCTATCTGCACAAAAGAATTTTCATTATGCAGAGAAGTGCTGTAAAATATTATTCAGACAAATTAAGGAAAACCAATCTAAATTAGTGTTTTAAAATTTTAATTGGGGAGTATTTAAGATGGATGAGAAGACCAATTCTTATCCCAGGTCACTCCAAAACAGATTAAAAATTAATGTGAACACGAATTAAAATCATTAAAGCAAAATCACAAAACCCTTCTATTAGTACTTCAATTATTTTTTAAAAACAGCATTTATTAAAACAATCCCCAGGGTAGTCTTGTAATTTATTAATTTTAAGCTTCTGTGTTAAACTCTGGGGCCAGTCAAGGGAGCCAACAGTCCGGCTGAGGAGCCAAGATAGCCATTCATCAATTCATTCATTCATTCAGTAAAATTTATTGAGAACCTACTTTGTGCCAAGCAATGTGTGAAGCATTGAGCATTAAAAATACCTAAAACATGCCTCCTACCCTCAAAAAGTCACATTTAGAAGGAGAGAGATTTGTAAATAAATCACCGCTATAGGGCCAATCTCAGTGACTGCCGTACTGACTGCTCCTTCTAGAAGAACTCTTCCCATGTCTCCTGATGAATAAGCCCGGGGTGGCCATGTTCCGCACAGAGTGACCAGTCCACTTCTCTTTTTCAGCAGCTTTCCCTGCCATAGCTAGGAAAAAGGCCTTAGCCCCAAAAAATCCCGCCAGAGTGGGGCAGGGTAGTGATCAGATGATTTCTTTAAGAGTTCCAGTGTGAGATACAGAGGGCAGGTTAGTAGTTGGTAGGAGGAGCAGAAGTGGGAGTGGAAAAGATTCTTAGAGAGAGACTGTTATAAGCCTTCAGGGGACCAAAGTAATGAGAAGCAGAAGCTCTGCAGTACAGAAGACATGAAAAGGGAGTTAGAAGCAGCAGCAGATGAGGGAGGAGAATGGAAAAATGGAGAGAATCATGGTTACCTTCATGGTGAAGGATCAGTGAACTACAGTTGAAGAACGGCCAATGATATAACCCAGTTCTTAGGACTACGTTGATTCCTGAATGTTTACTTAATATAAGACAATCTTCATCATATGGCATTAAGGTAGAAAAGGAGGATTCAAAATTTCTTAGTGATGTCTTGGTTCAGCCACAACAGAATAAAGGATTCACCTTCCCACGGTAAATAACCATAAAACTGGATAAAATAAATGAAGCAACTGTTTTCAGATATGGGCAGTAGACAGCACAGATCCTTGAGAGAAAGGGAGCAAAGAAGGTGTTAATCACAGAGTGATTTGATGTTTACTTAATGAGCAAAGAAAATATTAAACATCTCTTTAGGAATAGTTTGCATGAATCGCCTTAATGTTCACTTTATTTCTAGAAGCCCCCATACATAATCTAGAAGTTCTCATATGTAATCCAACAAATGCGTGATGACAGAGCATCAGTGTAATATGTTACACACTTCCACAAGCTTCCACAGGAGAGAAGTAGTTAACATCTGGCCAGTGCAAGAGCAAGGGAGTTACTTTTATAAAAATTAGAATATGGTCACTACAGTCCATTGTGGATTGTACAACTAACTTAATTCTCTAGAAGTCTAACCTGTAATTCTACAAAATATTTATAGATAATCAACAGTGAGTTCATACTTGGAAATAAACAAGGAACTCCACAGTATATGCTTAAATCTGCTTAGGTCAATAATATACCTGAAATTCAGTAGCTTGCTGTAAGGAAAGGCACACTATGCATAACACTGAAGAAACCTTGTGAAAATGAAGGGTAGAGTGATTGGCACTAAAACCTGATGCACTTTTGTAATAACTGAAATTTTTCTTAAAGCAGATATAAATAATCCTTAT